TGGGGCCTCAGTCGATGCTGCATCATGACGGTGGCTACAGTGGACCCACTGAATGGAGATACCAAGAGATTGTTCTGGAAAGGGGGAATTCCGGACTGGGTTTCAGCATAGCGGGTGGGAAGGACAACCCACACGTGGAAGGCGACAACTCTATTTACATCACGAAGATCATTCCTGGCGGTGCTGCTTCCAACGACGGACGCCTTCTGGTAAACGTTCGATTTTTCATCATCTTTGGAAATTTTTTCGAAATCTGCGACATACAGTTATACGATTGTTCATTTCTGGGGACCAATCGTGTGTTTTTGATGCTATCTGGGGTGTTAAAGGAACATTTAAAAAAAAGAAGCCGTATGCATGTGAGGAAATATTTTGGTTGTCGGAATTTCATTTCGTCATTTGAGGTATAAAAAACGGTGCGAATTTGCTCTTGGGATGTAAAGGAACATTTTCAAAAAAAAAGAAACACGTACGAGTGTGAGGACATGTTGGAGTCGTCGTCAGAATTTAAGTCTGTAGTTCGTGTGAGGAACAATGTATAAATAGCAGCGAATTTTCTCTTCGCGTTATCGTTGAATTTGTGTTTTCGGATTACGGTGAATTTTAATTTTTATTCCCGTGTGGCAATCTTGATGGAAATTGTCGAAACGCTGAATCTGTCTTCTCGGAATGAAAAAAATTATGTAAGAATCAGCTTCTGTTCATGAAGAATCGTCTGTCTTTTTGGTTCTCTCTCTTTCCGTATTCATTGAATGATGACGTTATCTTGATTTTTCGATTAAAAATGTTGTACTTCATAATTTCCTGGTCGCTATTCAAAACTTTTTGCGCTGCAGTATTTATACAGTATCGAGAAAATGATAATTTCGAATTTAAATGTCGAGCAATCGAATGTCACGATGTTATCCAGCAAAATAATTCTGTGTTCTGCAGTTGAAAAAATCATCGCGTTATTTTATTGCTTTTCACTGACAGTATTTGGTGAACGTGAGGTACGCTAAAAGTCGAATGATTTATTAGTTTCGTATCTCTGGATATAATCGATCAAGTGGATTCTGATCTTCATATTTTGTTATTGACAGGTGAATGACATCATTGTCAAGGTGAATGATTGTAATGTCGTTGAGGTGCTGCACGTGGAGGCTGTCGATGCCTTGAAGCGAGCTGGAAACATCGTAAAATTGGTGAGTGGTGACTTCTAGGGGGAAACTGTGCCAATTTTAAGGCAGAAATTTTGTTGCAAATGACAATAGCACAATCCAGAAAATTCCAAAGCGTTTATCTGAGGGAAAAGATTTTTAGCAGCTTTATTCGTATTTAGCGAAACAACTATGATTATTTGTCAAAGATGATCAATTTTCGCAAAGTCTGCTTTCCAAATTTTTTTTACCAGTTTTAAGTCTTATTTTATTTAAATTGAGATGTGTTTAATTTAAGAGACACCTGCATAAATATTCCAGTACTCGTGAGTTCGGACGTTCAAGTGGTAAAAGTCCAAGTACTGTGCTGCATATTTTGAAAGTTCGTCATGCTCATGACGAAAATTTTGAAGCTACTCCCATGGAATGAATTTTATGAACAGCAAATTTTGAGAAAAATATCTTCCAAGAGCCGAGTTCTTGGCTGGAGGAATTTCGCTGATGAATTAATCAAGTTCTGAGGTTCACCTAATGTGGGACTTGTGTCAAATGAATTTCCGAGGACTTGAGCTCTTGAAATTTTCTCCTAATTACCTTTTTCCTCGGGTTTTGTCGACGCTGCGGTTTTGATGATGACGGAATTTCCCGCAATTGAATTGCAGTTGGTGAAGCGCAGGGTGCCGAGAGGAGCGAATCTGCACTTGCTGGAAGTGGACCTGAGGAAAGGAACCCGGGGTTTGGGCTTCAGCATTGCCGGTGGCATAGGGAACCAGCACATCCCTGGCGACAACGGCATTTATGTGACGAAAATCATGGAAGGCGGGGCGGCGCACGTGGACGGACGAGTCGTCGTCGGCGACAAGCTTGTGGCGGTGAAAAATACTCCCGTTAGTGTTGTATTCGCGGAAGGCTTATTTTCTCTTATTTTCCGCTCTGCAATTGCCGTATTTACAAGAGGAGAATTGGCCGCTTTTTTTTTCTAAACAGAAATTTGCGAAAATTGTTTGGAAAATGTTGTCGAAAAACTGACCAACTTCCCTGTTAATCACGCACAGTGGACAAGAGAAATTTTGAAACGAATACAGGTGGACTCTCTCTACAACGAAATTTAAAGCATTCGAAATAAATTAGTTGCTGAGAGAATTCTGTTGTTAAGAACCCGGATAACATGGGGAGAGAACCCCATGGAATCAAAGAAAAATGTACCGTATTATGCAGAGAAAATCATTGTAGACAACAGAATTATACGGAGAATCCACCTGTATATCATTTCAGAAACTATCGGAACTAGATGTCTGGATTTCCAGTGTCATGAGAGTTTTTTTTTATTTGCTTTACAGAGACGTGTTTCTTCTATGTTTTCATCTGTCTTACCTGATATTATGATTGCCGAAGTAATTTAGAACGAAAAAAAAACGTAATTAAGGAGAATGCTTATGCCAAGTGCGAAGTCATTGCATTCCGTTTAAATCGTTTAGATGCGTCAGTTGATTTGAAAAATTGATTCAAGTGGCGAAGTTCACAATCTTCAGTTACGTCAGTTTGAATTAAATGCACTGTAGTTTTTTCTTCTATTCAAGCAATTTTCTTCAGTTGCTCATTAAAAACCACTGGAACCAGACTACGACAGTTCTAAACAAAAAACTCGTAAGCTTTAAGCACGTGTCTCTAAAGCAATTGAACTGAGTGTATAACAAAGTTTCAACATCAACAAGTTTCGGAAGAGATTTTATTTTGAAAATCGGTCCAGACCGTCCTGTAAAATCAGGATAACAGATTTTCCGAAATGTTCTCAGGTTCACCCTGTATTTCTAATATTTCGAGGATAAGCTGCATTCAAATTTTTAAATATTTTTGGATAAAAACCTGGCCTTCAATGGAGTAAATACGGTATTGCCATTTTAGTTTCTTTATTTTTCTGTTCGAATTCCGTTATTCCACCGGTTTTTATCTACGTTTCATTATTTGCCGAACGTCGTCCGTAGCAGAAGAATGCGTCGGGAAAATTGAGCCGGATTTTTGAACAGCGATCTGACGCGGGATCTGAATCGAAAGGGTTTATTGGTGAAATTTGTTCATCTGACCTTGCTGCTGATCATAGAAATTACTGTACTGTATAACTAAAAGTCTAAAACCTTACACCTTGTCTGAATTCGTAAGGCATTTTGGTGAATCAAACTTGTCTATTTTTCCCATGTTAACTTATGACTTGAAAAAAGTATCGCTGTTCGGAAATCTGCTTTATTTTTCTTGGTCAACCTTATGTTTTCCTTATTTATCTTGTTGTCCGAAAAATTATTCAAATCTTTTTTGGACTTGAATAGCGGTGATGCGACGTGTAGTAGTTGCCTGTCCGTAAATTTAGTGTAGGTTTCTCTAAAGGATCCTTGAATTATTTGATATAATTGTAGTGAATTCTTTGCGAAATTTTCACTCCTAGAATTTTCTTCATTAGACTCTTCAACGATTTCTCAGAATAACCTCGAGCTAGAGAGGATTCAAATATTTAGGCAATTCACGTCAACGCCCAATCTAAAAATCTAGAATCTCGGGTAGATGTAACTGAAATTATTACCTTAATCTGTTTCAGACGAAAGTATTAGACTTTTGACGTCATCTGTGAAAAAAGCAGAGAAAATGTTGAGCACCACCAAATTATTGCATGGCACGTCTCCGAGGTTGTTTTTGAACATTGTTCTTCCAGGCCTCTTAACATGCTAGAACTGATTTTTTGACGATTTGGAGCTTGTAGAATATCTTCTTGTTGAAGAACTTTGCCACTGTCTGTCTGTCTGTAGCTTGGCAGCCTGTCTTGCAAAAACTTTTAACTCAAAACCAAAAAAAAAAATGTATTTTGTACAACAGCTGGGAGACGTGAATCTCGAGAATGTCTCGCACGAGTCCGCCGTGGCGGCGTTGAAGAGCATTGTTGACCACGTGACGTTGGTGGTGGCGAAGCAGAGTCCGCCTGATCTGCTGGAGTCGTTCATGGGCGCCGGTGGACTGCACCACGTCGACGGGCTGCGAGGGACGACCCCCCAGAAGCCATCTCCGTCGCCGCCATGTGCTGCCAGTTCGCCGCCTCCTCGTAAGCGTCATTGCATTTCGCGGAAACGGGTTGAGAGGAAATTCAATTTTNCCTCGTAAGCGTCATTGCATTTCGCGGAAACGGGTTGAGAGGAAATTAAATTTTACAATTTTTGTGTGTTCAGAATTATTTATATTTTCATTTTATAAATGCTGCTCAATTTTGGGCTGTGAAATTTTGAATGTGCTCGCGAAATGAGTATTTCGTGTCTATCTCAAAATTTGAAAAGACTCTTTTTGACAAATTTGGGAGGACTTGAGGGAGAAATTGTTTCCGAGTATTTATTTTGAATCGGTTGTCAAATTAAGCATTGTGTTGGTTTGGTTGGAATTATTAATTTATTCAGAGGCATGATGTTTTAGAAGAATCAATTTTAATTATGGTTCATTTTTTCATTCCACGACGCGACTTATTAATTTTGGTGGGTCTTCAAATTTTGAAAGACTTTCCCATATTTTCCGTAAGAAACATGTAGGACCGTAGCTGATTTTCATGAAAATTATTTGCTAGCATTTTTGTTCGTGTACGTGAAGCTCATTTTACGACTTCAAAAACTGTACTGTACAGTGTGCTCTTGAGAAATTTGTTCATCGACCTCATGTACGTTGTCATCGAAAGATTGGATGCGAAAGTTACGAATCAGAAATTGAAATACCTCCTTGTGTGAAATAAAGGTTAACCCACAGTATTTATTGTTGTCCTTTCGACCTATTTTATAATTTAAATTCTAAAAACCCTTTCGTACCTATTTTGGCCTAAAAAGGGTCTCATTTTTTCCTTCACAGATGTCGCCTAAAACTTTTTATCCTGTGCGGGAATTTTTATTTGCCATTGAAAATCATTGATAACGATTCATTCTGCCTATTATTTGAAGACATCATAATCTACGGCTACAATGCCTCCAGAAAAATTGAGAAAATGAATCATCAAAATTCTCTCGAGCATTTATTGGATGCTTTTGGGGACTTAATTGAACGAAGTACACTAGTACAGTATGTATTGTACTTGTATGTGTGGCTTAGTTGATCTGTTTTCTATCTCTTACGTGGATGCACACTATGGTAAAGTAATTTATTTTTTCATGTTCCAGCTCCATTGGACACCAGTTCTATGCACAATGATTCTATGACGATGGTGACGCCAGCGAGTCACCTAGCTATGCAGAGCTCTCCGTCACCACGTGTGTCACACGAGGACGATCTCAGCAGGTTAGTTTTTTATTCTGTTATTTGCTCATACCGGGGATTTAAAAAAATTGGAATCGTGCGTCATTTTTTTCGCGTCATATGCATGAAAATAATTTTTCACGAAGAAAAATCTCACAATTTTCTTGGAAAATGTAATAGACCAGATGATTGCAATGTCTGCTTTGCAAATACAGGTGGACTCTACAAAAAAAATTAAGGGACCAGTAAAATTCATTGTAGAGATAATTGTATTCTAAAGAACCCCTACAACATAGGAAGAAAATTCTTCGGGAACCAAAATCATTCCTCATCCAGAAAAAAATCTTCGTCGACATGATCATCGAAGAAAAACTCCACCTGTATTGCGAGAAAAGTTGGAAGTTCAGTAATATCTCGCAACAGTGAGATGATTTGCTACCAGGAAAATTGCTTCAACGGAAAATTCGTCTTTAAAAAACTAAAATTACATTTTGACTACTGGGCAGGGATCGGAAAATGAATTCGTTGTAATCGATTCCATGTTATTACGACATTCGTTCCAAGATGAGTCTGCTGTACTGTAATAAGTGAGGTATCTTTAAAAAACTAAAATTACATTTTGACTACTGGGCAGGGATCGGAAAATGAATTCGTTGTAATCGATTCCATGTTATTACGACATTCGTTCCAAGATGAGTCTGCTGTACTGTAATAAGTGAGGTTTACGACGTTGTGGCAAGAACTTTTGTTGCTATTTTTAGAAATATAGTTCGTGCAATCGTTTGAATGGAAGCTTCAACAAGAACATGAAATACCGATCAAATTACCTTTCAAGTTGTACCCAAAGCTGTTCTTTGTTTTAATACGCACGCGAATTCATCGTGAGCGTCACCCTGCGGTCGCGAACCACGAACGAGATTTCCTCTCGCTTGGGCAAGATGTCGCGCGTGTCGCTCATCCGGATTTCCACTTCTGCCGTATCGTAATTCCGTCCAGACGACTTCGGGGCTCTAAAAAAAATAATAATAACGAGAATATTCATTCGTCTTAAGCCCTGCTGATGCGTATGGGGGAATGGAGATGGACGTCGAGTGAGCATTCAACGGTCGTCGCGGCGCTGTTGGGATTTACTATCTTGTTGCTTGCATAATGAACCAGTTTGGATGACCGTGGCTCAGAGAGCCCAGCCGGT